ATTTTATTTACACCTAAAAGGTCTTAATCTGAGTACAACTGAAACATTTTAGAGTAAGATAGATTATAACCCACCTGAAGGAAACAGAAAAAGTTATTTTGAAGCATGAAATGTGAAAGAGGAAAAGAAAGGTCATAACACTTGGATAAAATATTCAGCTGAGTTTTCTGGCAATGAAAACAAAAAGGAAACACATTAAATTACAAAGTTTTCATTTTCTGAAAAAAAGAGGAATATAACTTCATCCATAGAGGCAAAAATTTTCCTGGAATATAAGCAATAATTCATCTTGAGGTTTTTTTTTCTGTCTAAATGAGACTAAGAAAAAAAAAAAAACATTAGTTTTGTTTCAGGAAAAAAATGAATTATTTTTAGATTTGACTATGTATAATCACAGTTGAGTTATTTAATTCTTATCAGCATCAGTTTCATCTCCAACAATGAGGACAATGATATTTATCAGTAGACTGTAGTAAAGATTAGATTATGTCATTTATGTGGAGGAACTTAGTAGACTGCCTTAAATAGTTTTACAAAACCAAGAGAGATCACACTTTGTTTTGATCTTCTACAAAGGCAGAAGGCATGACATTAAATTGTGCTTCAATAAATGAAATTTTGTGAGGAGAGATATTTTGCCCTTTTCCCCTCATTCTGCTTTGTGAACATTTTACTGAACACAGAGACAAAACCTGGGGAATTTAGATTGAAGAAGTGTATGGGCAGGTAGAAACTCTCAATTCAATTTCAGCACATTTTAAAGTCAGTATTTGCTGTGCAAATCCTTTAACCTAATATATTTACACAACACAGTTGAGCTTAGTCAGAAAAGGCAACCCAAAATATCCTATTTCTCTTTACATCCACCTGCTGCTCATATTAATTCATTCTGAAATTAGCAGTCTAATATATTTTCTCTCAAAAAAGGTTAAGACTAAAAATCACCTAATATACTACTCATAGTTCAAGAAATACACAATTATAAGAAATCAATACACATTCCTGGAAATTGTCACACCACAACCTAACTCTTACATGAGAGGGGATACTTTTAAGCTAATATTTTTGAGCTTACACTAATATAGAAAATAAAAACTCTCTGTGGTCATGCCCAAATGCTTTTGAATTGTCAACCTACAATTGTCCTACTTTTTTTCTTTTTCTGTTTAACACATTTTGGAACTATGTGAATGAACTGGTGATCTTACTTCATATTACAAGAACACATACAGTCTGATCACAACTAAGTGACACTGCTAAAAAAAAGTTAGAGCTAGGCTGGGTATGGTGGCTCATGCCTGTAATACCAGCGCTTTGGGAGGCCGAGGCGGGCAGGCTGCCTGAGGTCAGGAGTTCAAGACCAGCCTGGCCAAAATGGTAAAACCCCACGTCTACTAAAAATACAAAAACATTAGCCAGGCGTGGTGGCATGCACCTGTAATCCCAGCTACTTGGGAGGCTGAGGCAGAAAAATTGCTTGAACCAAGGAGGTGGAGGCTGAGGTGAGCCAAGATAGTGCCACGGCACTCCAGCCTGGGCGACAGAGCAACACTTCGTCTCAGAAGAAAAAAAAAAACCTCACAAAACGTAAAGCAAGAGCTGTCCAATGCAAAAAAGAAAATGAGAATCTTTAAAGATTAAAACCATGATTGGTATTAGACAATTTTCCCAGGGTCTTGATAGGGTGAGGCAAGCTAGTGGCCTTGGGTGAAGAGGCAGTGGCTCCCAGGTGCCGTCCATGCTTTTTTGTTTTTCCCCTCCCCCTTCCCTCTGTCCATGCTTTTTGCACCACTCTGAGAGTAGCACCTCCTTACATCATGTGTCCTAGATGCCTTGCTTGCCTTACTCTAGTCCCAGCCCTGATTTTCATTTAAAAAAAAAAAAAAAAAAAGAATTATTCTTATCCAACTGTTATATATTGACTATTATGAGAACATCAGCCTCTGAACAATCAGGTGAATAAATCAATCCTACAGACTCTTTGTTTCATCAAATAAATGTTCAAGTGAGTGGCCAACCATTTCTGGGGGATCACACCAGCTGTTCTCTTTCCATATAAGCAGTTTGCAGAGGCCTTTACATGTGCATGTATGATCTAAGTTGGTAGTAAATGGTTTCTTAGAAAATGGTTAATAATATCAGATTTGTTTTACTAAGCTTTAATTTTTACTTTGCTTTAAAACAAAAAAAAGTTGCTTTTCTTTAGATGTTTGGTATCATCAAAAGCTATACAAGGTTAAATTATTAAAATATAATTGCCAAAATATATACTGTCAAATACATAAAAACTGACAATTATTTACATATGCACCCATACAAACATCATTAATGTCACGTAGCAGTAGGCAATTAATGAGTAGTTTCATCTTGCTATTAAAAGTTTTTTCCTCCTTTCCTCCCTCCGTCCCTCCCGCCCCTCCCTTCCTCACTCTCGTCCTCCCTTCCTCTGTTTCCTCTCCTTCCCTCTCCCTTTCCCTTCCTCTTTCTCTTTCTTTTTTAAGAGATACAGTTGCACTATGTTGCTCAGGCTGGAGTGCACTGGCTAGTCACAGGCGAGATCAGAGTGCACTACAGTCTCAAACTCCTGTGCTCAAGTGATCCTTCTGCCTTGGCCTCCAGAGTAGCTGGGACTACAGGTGTGTGACACTGTGCCCAGCTCTGCTAGTATTTAATATGCATGCTTAAACATATTTTCTTCTCAGTCCACCAAGCAAAGTTTTTGGTCTTTATTTGGACTCATGAGTAATGTGATTCCAAGTATTGGAACTGCTCATATATTTTTCAGTGTAGTACAACCCCTTAAAATCAGATGGGAATTGCCATTCTGGAAAAAAAACAACGCATATCTAGCTTTATATATAAAAAAAAATAGTTGATACAGCTGTATGGTCATCTGAAGTTCCTAAATATTTAATTTCAAAAACACTTGTGAAAATTCCACATAGTGAATGAACCAGGCTTCCACAGTGAAGAAACAATTACTTGAAAGCAGAATCCTAGGACATAAATGATAGTAGCAGTGATAGGTAAGGTCTAGAATGTCAGAACTCAGAAGGAAGAATAAATATCTTCAGACAACCTTTTCATAGCTCTATAACCTGTTGTTAGATTGACTTATCTACCTATATGTTGTAATTACAATCTAGTCCAGGGACACTTTCTTATCTTTTCAGCCATCACGTAGAAGGCATCATTAAGAGAACTCACTGCAATGCCATTTCTCAGATAGAGACAATCCTTCAATTTTTCTGACACCATCTCTAGGATATGTATCTTTGAACTGCTTCCAGTAACAGTTTCCAGTTCCCCTCTCTCAACAATATTCTTCCAATAATTTCTTCCCAACATCTGGTATACTTCTCCCAGACTAGTATGAGCATACTCATAAACCAATGATCTGTTTTAAATGTTTCTTTCTCTGGCTGGGTGAGGTGGCTTATACTGTAATCCCAGCATTTTGGAAGACTGAAGTGGGAGGATCACTTGAGGTCAGGAGTTTAAGACCAGCCTGGCCAACCATGCTGAAACTCTGTCTCTATTAAAAATACAAAAATTAGCCAGGTGTGATGGCATGCAGCTATAATCCCAGCTACTCAGGAGGCTGAGGCACGAGAATCCCTTGAAACCAGAAGGCGGAGGCTGCAGTGAGCCAAGATGGTGACAGAGTGAGACTCTGCCTCAAAAAAACAAAACAAAAAAAAACCAAACCAGTTTATTTTTTATCAGAATAACAAAATGGGTAAGAAGATGGCTAAGATGTGACAGTGATAATTCAGAAGAAAAAAGACTTTGTATTAAAAATACCAATGGTTTTGGTGAGAACGCAGAAACACTGGAACTCTCAGTCATCGTAAGGGGGAATGCAAAAGTACAGTAACTTTGGAAAATTTTGAGTTTCTTAGAAACTTAAACATACATCTACCACACAACCCAGTAATCATGTTCCTGAGTATTTACTCAAGAGAAATGGAAATTCAAGTTTATATTAAAATGTATACATAATTGTTTATAGCTATTTTATTTGGACACGTCCTCAAATGGAAACAACTCAAACATCCATCAACTGTGAATGAAATAACAAAACTGTGTTATATCCATTTAATGGATTATTAACCAGTAATAAAAATGAAACATATGACTAACATCTGCAACAATACAGATGAATTTCAAATGTATTATCATAACTGAGACAAGCCAGACTCAAAAGGCTATACACTGATAATTTCAGCTATATGGCATTCTGTAAAAGGTAAAACAATAGGTACAGAAAATAGGCCAGTGGTTGTTAGGGCTAGGGGTTGAGGAAAAGGGTCAACTAAAAAGGGGTAATGAGAGAATTTTTTGGAGTAATGGAACTATTCTATCTATTGATTGTGGTGCTGCTTACACAACTGTGTGCATTTGTCAAAAATCACAGACATGTATGCTAAAAAAGGTGAATTTTTTTCTGTGTATATTATACCTCAATAAACCTTACTTAAAGGAAAAAACAAAACAAAACAGGACTTATGTCTTAGTTACTAACTAAGTTACTAACTGCCATGGACAAGCCACTCACGACTCATTTCTCCATCTATAAAATAGGAATTGTATTTACTCTAAAAGAATTTTGGTGAGGGACAAAGGAAGAAAACAATTTTATGAACTTTAAAGCTCAGCACATATACTCTATATTATAGGTACTGGGATACACACTGATAAAGAAGACAGAGGCACACTAAGGAAATTAACTGTCTAGTTGCAGAACAAGATAAAACAGATTATTATTAAATAATATGGGGAAATTCAGTGACAGATATCAACAAAACAAGCAGGGGCATTCTAGGAATAAAAATTAACTCTAAGAAGTATATTACAAGTGGAATTAAAAAGGAAAGATTACAGTGAGATATAAATAAGTCATTCATGAACACGTACACCTGGAATCCAATAATTTTAACCTGATAGCAGTTTTAAAAAAGCCTAAAATGATTAAAATTATGACAAAATAGGAAAAATACCTCACGATGATTTAGAAGTTGTTCTAAATCTAATGCCATTTGATTCTTCATCTGTAGTAAAGCAGACTTTTCTTTATTTAAGTTGCTGAAAAAAAAAAACCCAAGTTTAAAAAAGTCATTATGTTAGCGTAGATTTAGTTAATAAATGGTAAATAGCAAAAGATTAAACATGAATCTGATGGTTTGAATTAAAGACCGGCCATTATAATGTTTGGCCTAATGAATGGCCTATTTTGTCAGAAGACTCTTTTTTTCCCTTTTCTCTCCCTTCTCCTCTCCTCCCCCTCTCCTCTCCTTTTTCTTCCTTTCTTTTCTTTTGTCCTTCTTTTCACCTTCTCTCTGTCTCTCCCTCTCTTTCTTTCTCTCTTTTGTTTAAGAGATGGAGTCTTGCTATATTGCCCAGGCTAGCTATTTATAGACATGGTAACAATGAACCACAGCCTCAAACTTCTGGGCTCAAGCAATCCTCCTGTCTCAGCCTCCCGAGTATCTGGGACTATAGGCATTCATCACTGTGCCCAGCTTTTCTTCTCTTAACAATCATTTGACAATGTTAACTGAGAGGCTGAGAATACTGTCCTGCCTAGTACTGGCATAAAATTAATGTGTTAAAGATGACTATTTACTACTAAACTGTAAAAAGATAAAGAAAGACTCACAAAAAAGGTAAAAAGTAGTATGTGTCTGCAAACTATGACAACACAAGATTAGAAGTCAAATTAAAACATTTATCCTTAAAACTGAAAGTAGTATTTTATAATTTACCACATACTAAATTATCAGGTATATAATTGAATTAGGTAAGTAAATCAGGTATTTAGTCTGTGGTAATCTTGAAAAAGGAATTTTTGTCTCGAAATTATTAGTTTGATTTTCAATTTCAGCCTGGGTGCAGTGGCGCTGTGGGAAGCTGAGGCAGGAGGACTGCTTGTAGCCAGGAGCTCGAGACCAGCCTGGGCAATGTGGCAAAACACTGTCTCTACAAAAATTAAAAAAAAAAATTAGCTGGCATGGTGGCATGTGCCTGTAGCCCCAGTTACTTGGGAGGCTGAGGTGGAGGATCACTTGATCCTCAGGTGGGAGGTTGAGGCTGCGGTGAGCTGTAATGGCGCCACTGCACTCCAGCCTGAGTGACAGAGAGAGAGCCTGGCTCAAAACAAGAAAAAAAAAATCTTCAATTTGTAAATCTGCATTCCTTTTGATACAATCTATTTTCTGATAGGAGAGGGTTAGAAGCTATTTAATGAGACTAACCGTAAAGACATATTAATATTTTAAAAAAGAAATATTTGGAGTCTGCCTTATACTGTCTTTAGTTTTATTATTCAACATATGCGATTTAAGTAGAACCATTAAATAAAATATTCTTCTAATGCCACTGGAATAAATCTACTCAACCAGCAGTATAAACAAGAATTAGGGAAAGCAATGGTGAGCTGAAGCTAAGTTGAAGCAACATAATTCCTCAAATGTCAAGACAAAATTTGTGGCAGGGCATGGTGGCTCACGCCTGTAATCCCAGCACTTTGAGGGGCCAAGGTGGGCGGATCATCTGAGGTCAGGACATGAGACCAGCTTGGTCAACATGGTGAAACCCTGTCTCAAATAAAAATACGAAAATTAGCCAGGTGTGGAGGCACACCTGTAATCCCAGATACTCAGGACGCTGAGGCAGGGGAATCACTGGAACCTGGGAGGCAGAGGTTGCAGTGAGCCAAGATCATGCCACTGCACACCAGCCTGGGCGATAGAGCAAGACTCCATCTCAAAAAAAA